GTGGGAAGGGATGTGTGCATATAAGATGTTGTTACAGCAACAAATACTTTGTCAGGAAGTCGGCCAATGACCCATGGATTGTTGCAGGGGCTGACGAACCAGAGGAAGACCGATCCAAATGGTCCTGTACCTTATTCGAGCCCCTTTATGTAGATAATGATGATGATGATAATGATGATGCTCAAACAGTTCGATTCCGTCACGTCCAGCTCAGCCGCTATGCATGCTTATGGAGGGAAGCAACTCCACCTGATTTATGCTTACGTGCAGGATCATTAGAGCCAGACAAAGATCACTGCGATGTTTACACAATCACTGATTAGGACTCACTGTTAATTTTGCCACCGAAAGACGAAGCATTTACAATAGAGAACATGACATTGCCAAGGTTTGTGGTGCTGAAATCAAACTGGAATGACAAGTGCTTGCACTACATACATGAAGATGGGGAGGTGCATGGGTTTGTCCAATTCTGTGGAGAGGAGGTTTCCAGTCAGTATTCAAAGTACGAATTGGAGATGGCAAAAACTAGTAGTAATGGGAATGTACTTGTTCATATAAAATGCTGTTACAACAACAAATACTTTGTAAGATGGTTGCCCAACCAATGGTGGATTGTTGCCACTGCTGACGAACCAGAGGAAGACCAATCCAAATGGTCATGTACCTTATTTGAGCCCCGCCGCATAAATGATTATGACGCTGCTCAAACAACAATTGGATCTATTGCTCAAACAATTCGATTGCGTCACGTCCAGCTCGGCCACTATGCATGCTTATGGAGGGTAATAACCGTACACAGTTCATGCTTATTCGCAGCAACCACAGAGCCTAACAAAGAACAATGCGATGTCTTCACAATCATCGATTGGGAACCGTTGTCATTAGTGCAACCCAAATCCAACGCTTTTATAAGAGAGACAGTAGCATTGCCAAGGTTTGTGGTGATCAAATCAAACTAAGATGGCAAATACTTGCGCTACATACATGAAGATGGTGTGGAGCATGAGTTTGTCCAATTCTCTAGAGAGGAGTTTGTGAGCCCATACACAAAATACGAAGTGGTGATGGCAAATACAAGTGGTGGGAGGGGACAATTTGTGCACCTAAGATGTTTTTACAATAACAAAAACTTGGTAAAGTTGGCGTCGGCACATGGTTGGATTGTTGCTGGTGCTAACGAACCAGAGGAAGACCAAAAACAATGGTCATGCACTTTGTTCTAGCTCCTTTTAGACACCCCATTTTTGACCGTCCTCAAGACTTGGACGTCACCGTTTGAACACTCGGTGATCATCCTTGTTTGTGTTCGTCTTGAGTTCTCGGAGGTCTCGGCTACGCGCCTTGCCTCAGGATCTCTCAACTCGACTGTTTTGTGTTTGGTTTTGCACCAAACACTTGTGTTTTTGCTGTGAAGGGCAGGGAATGGCTTGTTGGCCATCCCCACACCTCACTGGCCATGGCTTGAAGCTACCGGCCATTGGTTTGTTGCCATCGGCCAAATGTTTAGCCGATCGACACTCTTTGTGATCAACCGGCCATCTTTTTTGGTCAAATAGCATTTTTGGCTGGCTGACCACTGTACATCTGCTTTTGTAGATATTTTTATGCCAGCTGTGCTAGCTGGCATACACTTTGCTCCCCTCTATACACGTGTATGGAGGGATTTCACTCTTGCTTAGCTTGTTTTGGAAGCTTTGCAAGAGTGAATCTCTATAAGAGAGAGCCTCTTCTCCCTCCATTAGGGTTACAATTTTTTTTCAGAGGGCTTTGATATTAGGGTTAGGGTTTGCATATCCCCCATCTCTATATCTCTCTCTTTTTTGTGTATAAGTGTGTGTTTGGTCTTATTATTGCACACAAACACCCACCATTACACCTTACCTTGGCTACTGAGGTGCCAGAGAGCTGTTCTTGGTGTTCTTGAGTGGATTCAAGCTTGAAGAACCAACTGGAACATTGTTTGTGAAGATGGTCATCAAGGGTAAGAACTTCACCCTTTATTCCTCATTTTTGCATAGCTTTTTAACCAATCTTGCAACTGTTTTTAGACTTTGTATATAAATAATAAAATTCTTGATTTTGAGTGCTTAAGATAGTTGTTTAAGGTTGCTTTGTCGTTTGGGGGTGTTTGACCCCTCTTAGGCCTTGTTTGGCCCTATTTTTGTGCTATTTTAGTGAGCTCCGGGACCACTTTGTTTGGGCCTCCTCACCACTGAAATCTTGAGGGATTTTAGTAGTGAGCATGGTGTCTTAAGGTCCTAAGAAGGAGAGGGACAACCCCTCTCCTTGTTGTCCTTGAAAAGGGCCATTTTTGCCTCATGTGTGAGCATCTTGTTTAAGTGTATGGTGGCCATGCCTTAGCTGTTTTTGTGCTTGTATTGCCATGTATTACCTCTGTTTTTACTTGGTTTAGACACATCATGCTTGCCTTGCATACATGTCTTGTAATGCCATATTTTTGCCTTAACATGCTTTAGGTTTTTAACCCTTGTTCTAGCATGATTTCGGCCTAGCTTTATGAAACTTTTATGCTTGTTTTAGTATGCTAAGGGGCTGCTTTTGGTCATTTGAGTCATCCATGCTTTGTTTTGTATAGCTACCATGCAAACTCTCTTGTATGCCTTGAGCAGTGACCTCTCTAGCATGCCATCCTTGCATCATTTCAGTAGTTTGGCACTACTTATAGCATCATTTCAGTCCTCATGGTATGCTTCTATGATTGCATTTGATGTCCCTTTAATGCTTTACATGGTTGTCATCTTATGCTCCGTGTGTGGCCTCTTTTGTATGCTTGCATGTTTAGACCACTTAGATGCCATCTAGGTGTGTCCTTAGCTTTGCTTAGGTCTGCCTTGGACCTGTTTTAAGTCCTTTTAGCCTTGTGAGGCTTGTTTGAATTAGCCATGGTTTAAGCCCTCTTAGGCTTTCCTTCAATCTTGGACCATTGTTGCATGTTTAGCTTGTCTGGTTTACTTGGTTTGGCACCTTTATAACATGATTTTCAGAGCTTTCTATGCATGCTATGTGTCCATGTTTATCTTCTTTTAAGTGTGCTTAAAAGTTGTCTCTTTGATGCTTAAGTGTTGGTCTATTTACATGCATGCTTGTACGTGCATTTGGTCCCATCCTCATAGCTTTTGGCCACTGTTTTGGGCCTAGTATAGGGCTGCCCAAATTGGTATAAGTCCATTGTTTGCATGTTGTCGCATGCTCACCTTGTGTGTTGTCATATACTTAGCCTATTGCATGTGTTGCATGCTTCAATCGCTTTGCATTTGGCACGCATTCTCTTGGCTAAGTTGCCTAACATGTTGTCCATGTTGCCCCTTGCATGCTTGCATGGTTAAGCTTGCATAGTTATTCCATGTCTTGCATACTTATTTGCTTAGGTTGTGTGCCTATTGCATGCTTACTTGTTTGCATCTCATGTTGCACTCTTAGCTCACAAGTCTAGGTTGCATATTATTGCATGCATCTTTCATCTCTTGATCAAGCCATGATAGAGGTTGAAAGCCCTTTGGTATGTTTCTATGCATTGCATTTCATTTGAAATCAAAATGCATGACTTGGTTCCTTGGGCCATCACGCATTGAAATGCGCGATTGGTGGTCCGAGAATCAAGAAACATACCCTTTTGAGTCACAAACATGATAAGGGATGTGTTGGTGCACACATTTGCTTGAAATACATTGCCATGCCTTGTTCTGCCCTTTGCTGCTATCAAAGCAGGTACTACAGGAAGACTTGGCTGGTCGACTACATGGAGTGCCGACCGACCAATTATTGCTGGCCGAGAGCTCAACAAATGGTCGATGACCATTCGGACATGGTCGATGGGTGTAGACACCCCATTTTTGACCGTTCTCAAGACTTGGACATCACCGCTTGAACACTCGGTGATCATCCATGTTTGTGTTCGTCTTGAGTTCCCAAAGGCCTCGGCTACGTGCCTTGCCTCAGGATCTCTCGACTCGACCGTTTTGTGTCTGGTTTTGCACCAAACACTTGTGTTTTTGCACCAAACACTTGTGTTTTTGCTTTGGAGGGCAGGGAATGGCTTTTGGGACATCCCTACACTCCACCGGCCATGGCTTAAGGCCACCGGCTGTGTTATGTTGCCATCGGCCAAATGTGATGGCCGGCAAGCCAATTTGACTGCCGGTCGGCCATTTTGATGGCCGGCCGGCCAAATGTGGTTTTCAACAGATATTTCTGTAGACAGCTGGCAGCTGTCATTCCAGGCCATACCCCAGCCCATGCCTGGACGTGGGACTTTTGAGGGGGGCTGCAGATTGATATATCTATATCAATCAAACTCTCTCAAAAGAAGAGAGATACAAGAGGAAGAGGAGGAGATATACAACCTAATGAGCAAAAAATCTCCCTCTCTCTCTAAGGTTTAGGGCTTGTTTGTGCTCAAAAGTGCATTTTTTTTGCACTTTTGCATACAAACACCTAGTTCTCTACTCCCTTTATTGAGCTGAGGTCCTTGAAGGTGATTTTTGGGGTGATTTGAAGCCTTTCCTTGGTCCAAAAGTTGTTGATTTGCTGTTATGCTACAAGGGTAAGACTTTTGTCCCTTTTTTTACCCTTGCTTTGCAAAGCTTTTAGCCTATCTTGCATCTATTTTTGAGCTTATCATATAACATAGAAAAGTCTTGTTTTTTGAGTGCTCTAAATAGTTTGTTAAGGGTGTTTTAAGCTTTGGGGTTGTTTGACCCCTCTTCAGGCTTGTTTGGCCTTTGTTTTGTGCCATTTCGGTTGAGCTCCGGGACCATTGTGTTTGGGCCTCCTCACCACTAAAATCTTGAGGGATTTCAGTGATGAGGATGGTGCCTTGAGGTCCTAGGAAGGAGAGGGCCGTCCCCTCTCCCTGTTGTCCTTGAAAAGGGCCATTTTTAGCCTCTTAAGGGAGCATATAGTTTGAGTGTGTATTGACCATACCTTGACTGATTTTCATGCTTATTATGTCATAATATAGCATTGTTGCATGTTGGTTTTGGTACACCATGCTTGCTTAGCATACATGCCTTGTAATGCCTTGTTTTAGCCTTAACATGTCCTATGTTTTGAGCCCTTATTCAAGCATGTTTAGGCCTAGCTTTATGAAGCTTTTATGTTTGTCTTGCCATGCTTAAGGTCTGTCCTTGGCTGTTTTGGTCAACCAAGACATGCATTGCATAGTCGCTTTGCATCTTGGATCGTTTGCCCCAAGTGTGTGAGTGTGTAGTGTGCATTACTTGCATCATTTTCAGTGGTTTGGAACCACTTACCATGTTATTTCAGTTCTCATAACATGCTTGCATGCATGCCTTTGATGCCTCTTTGATGCCTTAAAAGCTTGTGTTGTATGCTCCATGTTTAGCCTCTTTTGTATGCTTCCATGTTTAAGCCACTTGGATGCCATCTAGGTGTTCCCTTTGCATGGTATAGGCCTATCTTGAACCTGTTTTAAGCCCTTTTGTCCTTGTGAGGCTTGGTTGGCTTAGCCATGGTTTAAGTCTCCTTGACTAGCCTCAAGTACTTGGACCAATTCTACGCTATGTTTGTCTTGGTTAAGTTGGTTTGGCACCATCATTAGCATGGTTTTTGGAGATTACATTGCATGCCCTTAGTCCATATTTAGTCTCTTCCTAGCGTGCTTGAGAGTTGCCTTTTGATGTTTAAATGTTGGCCCATTAACATTTGCATGTGTGTGTGTGTTGGTCCTCATGATTGAGCACTTCGGCCACTGATTTTGGCATGCTTGTGAGCCATCCTAAATTAGTTTAAGTCCGTCCCCTTTGCTTGATTGTGTGCTCACCCTATATGTTTGCTTGCATACTTGCATATTCGCATTCTATTGCCATGTTGTATGCTAGTTCACATGCTTAGGATTGCATTGCATGAGTATGCATGCTTGACCTCTTGAAGTGAGTATGATAGAGGTTGAGTTCAATTTGTTTGATTATGTGCATTG